AAAAGTCATCTACAAAAGTTACAAAATAATGGTTTTCTCCTAAAGACGATGTCTTTGAAGGACTCCATACATATGAGTGAATATAATCCACAATACCTTTTGTATTATGTATAGTGGTGCCAAACTTCACTCTCTTCTACTTTTCTAGAACACAATGCTCGTAAAAGTTCAATTTACAAGCCTTTTCACCTTTCAAAAATCCTTTCTTTGCCAGAATTTGCAAGGATTTCTCTCTAGCATGTTCCAACCGTATATGCCACAACTGGGTTGTATCAAAATCATCACCTCCGGAAGCTGTTGCAACTGCTTCAATAATTGTACTACCTTGGTAGTAATACAAATTATTTTTCCTGAGGCCCTTCATCATCACAAGTGCGCCAGATGTGACTTTTAAAACTCCATCTCTCATAGTGACTACTGAGCCTTTGGATTCCAAGGCTCCCAACGAGATGAGATTTTTCTTCAAACTGGGCACGTATCTGTAACATCTTCAATACTGGGTTAGTGACTAAATTGTAAAATTTTAGAATTTGGTGATTAAAGTAAAATAGTTGAATAGTTCAATGATTTATTTGGGAATATTTCCAGAAAGCTGTTAGTAATTATTCAAGGAATTAAAGGGCAAAATGGTTAATTGATAAGGAAAAATATTTTTCTCCCCTTTAATAAGAGATATACATATGGGGGAGGGTAAGATGAAAACATTTCATCATCTTCTTCTTCTTCCTTTCTTCTTCTCCAACCGTGGAAGCTAGGCAAAGGTAAGAGTTTCTTTGTTTCTTGATTATTTGTTGATTTAAAGGTTGGGTTTTGATCCTTAGATGATAATTAAGTTTAAGGAAAGCTTAATTTGTCTTAAAATCAAAAGATAAAGAAGTTATGAAAGATTAAAGAAACTGAGTTTTTAAGTGAAATTTTGAATAAGAAGGTTTAAATGAATTTGTAGGATGAAATTGACTTGTCATCAATGAGAATAAGAAGTTAAAAGTGTTAGAATTAAGTTTGGATAACATGGAAAATTTGGTATGATTCTTAGCTTTAAGAATTTGGATGAGATGTGAGAGATAATAAGGTATGGGAATGATAAAAGTTAGTTAAAATGGTTGTAATTGAGTTAAGTGGTATAAAAGTAGTTTTATATGAGGAAATTTAATGAAAAGTTGTGGAATTTTTGGATGAAATAGTCTATTCTGGGTTGGTGCATCGATGCACTATCAATGTGTACCGATGCACTAAGATAAAATTTGAAGGTGCATCGATGCATTAAGGGGTGCATCGATGCATGGGAATTTCGAACCTAATTTGTGTACCGATGCATCCATAGTGCATCGGTACACCCCTAAAGGAAAACTGAATTTTTGGGTTCATTAAATTAGCTCAAGTTATTAGTATCGAATTATAAGGTTTTAGGCTTCTTATAATTGTCTTGAAAATTATATTTATGTAGATGTTGAGCCTAAACAAGTTTCAGAACAATCAAAGAATTAGGATCAAATCAAAGCAAGACTAAGGTGAGTGCAATTTTAATTGTACTTATGTTATTGAACGAACATTGGCTTGCGATGAGCCAGTGATGGAGTTACTATGGTAAAAATTGACTCATAAAATGTTATTTGATTTGTGATTCTTATATGTGCATGAATACATGAAATGAATATAGGTTATTATATATATGTTACATGATTATATGCATATGTGATATATGCTATGAGACATGACCAATGTGAAATGAGATAAACTATGTGACTATATGAATGTTACATGATCTACATGCTTACATGAATATGTATTACATGTTATATAAAATGACATAGATGGTTACACATGCATGTGGTATGTGACAGAAGAGAAAGAACAAGTGATATGAAATGTATAAATGATAATGTCCATGTTATATGATATGAGAGCTAGTGGTATAGTTGACATGCTAAGAGTCGAGGGTTACCTATGTTCTACGGAACATATGGACAGTTTACCTATGTTCTTTGGAACATATGACAGTTACATAGGTCCTTCGAGACAAATTTCATAGCCCCTAGTGGGACCCCATACGAGTTATGGTGACAGCATAATGCACAGCCTCAATGTACTCACATACCTTGAGTTCTCAGTAATGTACATGGGCTTACAAAAAGGTATAAAAGTGTTTGCATTATTACATGTTATCATGCTATTATTATTTATATGGAATCATATGTGACATGATTGAATGAGTAGATGATATGTTCATACGGATATGAAATGCATTATTTTTATTATATGTTTTATATCCTCACTAAGTCAACGACTTAGCATGTGATTGTTTCACTCGTAGGTTTCGAGAAGAGGAAGATTGATAAAAGTTATGCAAAACATGTCAGTTTCTCCTTTCCAAAGATCAGATCATAAGAGAATTGAATAGTATGCATTTTGTAATAATGATAGTGGTTGGCATATAAATAAAGGTTTGAATACGATATGTTTTAATCGGTTTTGTTAAAATCATATGATAGATTTTTGTAATATTTTAAACGTATTTATGTAAAAGGTAATTTTATACGGATGGAAATTTAGATTTTTTATGAATTTATACGTATTTTATGAAAGTTATTGTAGCAGTGCATCGACACACAATTTATATTCGAAAATTTTCACTCTTCATGGTACTGTTCACGATATTATTCATACCTTATAGTACTGTTCACAAATACATATTGTTTTCAAATTTTTATAATGAAGCATAATTTAATAGTATTTTATCGTATTTTCTTAATATAAATTCAAATGTTCGATTATTTTGTAAGAAAATTGTTTTGAAAAGTCAATGTGACATCTCAGACTCGTATCCGGGTCAGTACGGGTTGGGGTGTTACAGTATCGGACATCAGTCAGAACTCTGGTTGATCCATCTTGATTTTTCAATCGAATTGAACATATCCCAACAGTTTTACAGGCATTGTCATTGCCCATATAAACAACTCCTGCATTTAGTTCTACTAAATCGGAGAACCACTCCCGATTAGGGGACATATGATAGGTATAACCCGAATCTAATATCCACTCATCTGAATGGAATGTTGATGATGAAGCAACCAATGATATGTCAGAGTCATTTGCATCATGTTCTGCAACACATGCATTCGGAGCAACTTTTCCTTTCTTCTTCAGCTTCGGACAATCTTTCTTCCAATGGCCTTTCTCATGACAAAAGTCACATTCATCTTTTCCCAGTCTGGACTTCGACTTTGATCTCCCTCTCCACTTTGACTTTTGACTTTTCGAGCGACCTCTTGCCACCATGGCCTTCACTGCTTCGTACTTGCTCTCCTTCTTGGTTTTCTTTCTGAGCTCATAACTATACAAAGCAGCAGTTACATCTTTAAGGGTAACATTATCCTTACCATGAAGTAACTTTGTCTCAAGGTGCTCAAATTCATCTGGAAGACATGGCAACAACATCAAAGCCAAATCTTTATCTTTGAAGGTTTCATCCATGCCCAATAAGTCTACCACTAGCTCATTCAACGCAGTGATGTGTTCATTCATACTGGTGTATGGTTGATAATCAAATCCGAACAATCTTTTCTTCATGTGGAGACGATTCTGAGAGCTTTTCTTTAGGAATTTTTCCTTAAATGCTTTCCACATCTTCCTTGCTTAAGTCTCGTTCTTGTAGCCATACTTCTGCTCCCTGGAAAGACAAGATCGAATCATGATGCATGCCAAACGATTGATTGTTCTCCATTCTTTCTCCTCCATATCTACGGTTTTTCTTCCTCAATGGCGATGTCTAGACCTTATTGGAATAAAGCGTCTAACACCTCGCCTTGCCACATGCCAAAATGACCGGATCCATCGAACAATTCCACCGAGAAGTTTGCATTTGACATTGATGTCTCAACTGATCCGTATTTTGGCATTTTAATTCTAACGAACAATATTCAATAGCACGAAGTGTATCTTTTCAACAACGGAGGATAACCTCAACCGAAGCTCTGATGCCATTTGTTGGGGAAACCGAGTTATTTCCCACACGAACGTAGTTTCAAAATTGACCTAAAATATCAAGATCAAAACCACCAAATATTGCACAACAGATAAACCCGTCAAACTATTGAATATTGAAACACAATGGAAAAACCGAATAAAAAACAATAAAAGAGAGAATACATCAAATTTACATGGTTCGACGAGAATATCGTCTACTCCTCGGGGTACCACACCGTATGATAACTTCACTATCAACAAATATTACAACAATGGAATTCTTTAGAATTCCCAAAGTGAGAGAATGAAGAAAACAAATGGAAGAGAGAACTTGTTTTGGGATGATTTCTAATGAAATACTTAGGCCTATTTATAGTTGAGTTTTAAGGACTAAATTTATAAATAACCTAATATTTTAGGGACCAAAGATGAAATTCCCATGTGCAAAGTTGGCCACCAACCAAGATGAATTTTCAAACTTTTGACAATTTACAAGCCAAACATAACACCTGTGATGTTATGTAGGTTTATCACGTAATTTCAAGACGTTAATAGTAAGTTAATTAATAATTTTATCTACAAAAAAATTATTTTAGCCCGAAATGAAACATAAGACTTGAGAATTAAATGTTTAAATAAATGCATTCGATCAAAAGTTAGGATTTTTGTTTTTACATTATGCTATTATATATTATTAATCCCTTTTAAAAGATAATATATATTCATTCCTGGGTAGAGAATCTATCGACGCTGATAATGAATTTTACTAAGCAACTTTAGTTAACAAAACCAGCAAAAAGAAATTGTAAGCGAAGTATATGAATCTGATACTGTAAGATAACAAGTAAGAGTAGTTAAAGTTGGTCTCATCACATCATATCCATTGTCTTGATGTAAGTTATTCCATATTCTCTTAAACTTCCACCATCCCCCCTATCGCGTTGGAATCTTTTAACCCACCGATTCTAATTCCTTCATCAACTGGCCTCACATGTAAAAACCTTGTATAAATACATGCAGAAAACACCAATTTCGATATAGTTATGTGCTTAGCCAAGTTTTTTAATTATTACTACTAGTTAATTTGCAATTCCCGAGAGCTAGCAATGGCATCAATGAAGGCTGAAAAGCCTGTTGGCACTCAACTCTTTGGACAGGTCAAGAAGGAAGCTGCAACTTCAAAGGCCACCGATGCTTCCACCAAAGCCGCTGCTTCCAAGCCCGCCGCCAAAAAGGCTGCTCAAAAGCCTCAGGAACCAAAAAAACCCGCTGCTAAGAAGGTAACTATATACATTCGTGAATAAAATTCTTTAATTCTACACTAATTTATGATTATCATATGTAAATGAATAATTGAAAATAAAACTTCATACATTCCTCCAGTCATCTTAAATCAATTTAAAATGAAAGAGTTTTACGATGCAACTCGATCCAAACTCGTATATATATATATATATATGTGTGTGTGTGTGAGAGAGAGAGAGAGAGATATTATATATATATATATATGTATATGTGTGTGTGTGTGTGAGAGAGAGAGATATTATCATGTTTGTAAGAAATGATAATGCAGTCACGTACTAAATAATGTCTGATGGATTTCTCTGCACTGCAGGGAAAAGGTGGGAAAGCAGCGACCAAGCAGTAGATACCAGTCCCAATGCAAGCAGATTTTTAGGGCTTAAGATACTAAATATCTAAGCTTATAATATATACACACACACATATATATGTTTGTGTTATGATCAGGGAAACTTAACTAATTAAGGTTTTCTTGTAAGTTGTTTCGACAAAGATATTGCACTGATTAAATAAGACAGCATATATATATGTATAATTATCATTACAAGGGTATTATACCATATAATAAATATAGATTTATATAAAAACTCTTTCTACTTGTGCGTACGTCTACAAGCAGTCCCTCACTACAACCTCACCATTTTGATCAAGTTTTAACTTTTATCCATTTTTGACCAACTTCTTCCGGCAATTGCGTGCATAAAACACTTCCATTCCATGAGGGGCAGAACACATCATCAACTAGAAAGCAGGGCCGGCCCTGGGCCAGGGCAGGAGGGGCACCCCCAATAGCCCACAAAATATTTTTTTTTCAGTATAATATTTTTTATTTTTTCTGATAATAAATTAAAAGATTGTAAAACAAAATAGAGTAATCTATGCATTTAGTACCTATACTATCAGTTTTGATCCGTTTTAGTACTTAAAATTTTAAATTATTTTCAAAATCATATCTAACCTTTACTTTTCATTTCATTTTAGTATCCGTCGTTAAAAACTTAACGCGTATAGTACATAATTATCATTTTTTGTTTGTTTTAGTACCTAAAATTTAAAAAAAAAATTAAAACTTAATGTTAAATTTTGAATGGATACTAAATGAAATAAAAAACTAAAGTTTTTAACGACGGGTACTAAAATGAAACAAAAACTAAACTTTACGTATGATTTTAAAAAAATTAAAAGTTTAGGTACTAAAACATATCAAAACTGATAATTTAGGTACTAAATACATAATTTACTCAATAAAATAATGGGACCCATGAATTTATTAAAGTGTCAATTATTAACGTTAATAAATTATTCTTTCATAAAATTCTAATTTAATATTTCTTTCTCAAAATTCAAAAAAATCAATTGAACTCTTTAATTTTGGTCTTTCCAAATTCACACTATCAATTCACCAAATCTCTTTCCCGATTTTTCATATCAATAAAAAAATTTATTAACATTATTTTTTTCAAAACTTAATGAGAGGAAAAAATTTAAGTATAATTAGTATATTTTTTTCTCTTTCACGTTTCACGATTCATCTGTAAATTATTATTATCATTTTTTAATTTATCATATTTGTATCACACGTAAAATCACAATTGTTTATTATCAATTATGGTGCTTGAATAATATTGAAGATTGTTCTTAAAATTCTAGGTAGATCATGCTTTCAAATTATTTCTTTTAGTTTTATATATTTTCAAATTCTAGAAAATATCGTTCTTTCATTTTCAAATGCTATGTTATATATTGAGAAAAATATGTTGGAAAGCATTGTTGTTGACACTATCATCAATGGTTTTGCATTAAAATATTCGAATGTAATATTTTTTTATAAGTATTTGTATTCTTAAATATATATTTTTGACATATTTTATATTGTAATGAATTACTATCTGAGGAAACTAGAATTTTAAGAACAATCTTCAATATTATTCGAGCACCATAATTGATACTCAGTTCTAAGTAAACGTTACTATCTGATGCGAATTTAGAGATAGGACTTCTGGAGTGTTAACATTCAATCTTCTTTAAGCTAGAACATGAGGAAACTACTAAAAATGCGATCGGAAGCTTACCCAATTCTGACTGCTGGAGCTGCAACAGTTAGAGTTATTTGGGATGCTATTCGTGAAAAGAGGCCTATTGTTCCTTGGCAGAAAATTATTTGGTTCCCTCTTCACATTCCTAAACATAGTTTAATCTCTTGGATGACTTTGCTCGATAGACTTCCCACAAAGGAAAGACTCCACCATATGGGGCTGTTAAACGACTGCAAATGTGTTTTCTGTGATGATCTTATAGAAACTAGAGACCATCTGTTCCTCCATTGTTCTATGGCTGAATACATCTGGAAATCAGTTTTCTCACTTTCTGGTATTCAGTTTTTTCCTTGCTCATGGGATTCTTTTTGGACGAGGGCAATTAATTCCTGGAAAGAAAAATCCCTGCTCACTTCCATTTTGAAGTTAGCTCTTAACACTACTATCTACTTTCTGTGGGACGAAAGAAATAAGAGACTGTTTCAAGGCCGAACGAAGACTGCTCCAGAACTGTTACAAACCATTAGAAATATAGTAGGCCTGCACTTAAGAAATAGGAACTTAAACAGTAATGATAATATCAATATTACTCTTGCTAGAAATTGGGATATGTGTGCTCCTTGATTATTTTTGTAAGTAGGTTGCTCTCTGTTTTCAAATTCTGTTCCTTGTAACATGTTACTGTAGCAGTTTGCTATTTGGGTAATAAAACTGAAAATTATCCAAAAAAAAAAAAAAAAGTTTCGAGTAATCAGGATACCATCCGTAAAGCAGATCCATCGCCAATATGAACTGTGCCCTTACTTATGTAGTGTTTGCTTGCTTGAAGGGTGGCGTAGTCATGTGTAACGTGGCACCCGAGTCAGGATACCATTAACAAACATTAGAAGCCACCAACGAGTTTACTTGAGGTGACTCAACCACCAATGCCACCACCTCAGCAGAGTCGCCTATAGCTGTAGGAGCACTTACACGCGAGTTATAGGTAAACTCAGAATTAGTATGGGAACAACAACACGTTTTAGCGTGGACTTGAGAATATGATCTGGTTTGTTGAGAGGCAATTCCCCTGAAGTTCTGGTCGAATCGGTACCAACACCAATCGACAAGATGCCCCAATTTCCCACAAAGCTGACATTGTGGGCTAGATCGACCACTATTCCTGTTTCCATTAGTCACTCCACCAGACCTTGCCCAAGAGCCATCACACCCATAATTTCCATCTGACTGACTCAGCAACTATCGTGAGTCAGCATGTTCAACATTTCGATCACTGTTATATCTGGTGACATGTACTCCAATAGGAAACCGTAGTGGATCAGAATCAAGACTCGGCATCAATAAGAACAGACACTACACCTTCCACAGAATACGCTTCACGGATGGCAGTAATCACAGCAATAAGATTCATACTCCGGAGGCAAACCGTTGAGAATTGTCGCAATATGCTCAATTTCAGAAACTGGCTACCAGAAGTCGCTAATAGATCACAGATTTCCTTTATTTGCAAAGTCTAATCATAGACTGTACTTTTTTAATTGAGCGAAGTCAACAGTGTAAGTGCATAAGTTTAGTTGTACTGAGTTTCGAGTATAACCTGGATATAGCACTCTACACCGCCGCTGATGTTTCGGCACCGACGAGTTGAGGGAGTAAATCATTGCTAACGAAGCCAAAGAGCTATCCTACCGCATATACCTGAGATACACGGAGCTAATGACTCGCTCACCTTCTTCATTAACGGAATACTTCGTCAGAACAGGAATAGTGTCATCCAAGAAGCCTTCAAGGCCGTGACCGCGAACTGTGAGCGTAACCTGTTGTTTCCACAACAGGTAGTTTGTGTCGTCGAACTTCACGCTGATCCGTTTATTGGAAAACACATGAGAGAGTGACTCACCGGTAGAAGTGAGAAGAGAATCATCCGCAGTCATCATCGTATCAAGAAACGCACCAGAAGAAGCAAACCGAGCAAAGACTAAAGAAGCAATATCTTCACAGATGAAAAACGACACTCAGAATCGTTAGCGAATGATACCATATGAACAAGACTTCATTGATGATAAGTAAACAAGAAATAAAGTAAATTTACAGTCTGAATAATGAAATGCATTGAAAAAACAAAAATCCTCAAACCAAAAGTTTAATCCCATGAACGTACAAAAAAACCATCTTATGTTGAAGTTGTTGAGAGTTCCCATTTCAACAGCTCGGAGAAGGTAAGAAACTGAAGCTTAAAAAACTACCTAGTAAAAAATTCCATGAGTTTTTTCGATGTTTGCCATTCATGTGATTAGTTGCCTGTTACCGACAACTTTAAGTGGCTATTGATCAGCAAAAGCATATATAAGATTTATGTAAAAATAAAACATAGATATGCTTGTCTGATTATGTATCAGTACAACTTTGTTTCACCTGCTTATTAGTCTCGGGTATGGCAGGTAATGAACTTATCAGATGACGTTGATTTATTTATCATGCATTTTGCTGATGAAGATCACAGGAAGGCTATGAAATATCTCAGACGACAACAGCGTAAAGAATCACATGCCGTGGCCTTCTCGCTGGATACATCATTATGGTTCATCTCATTGGGATGTACAGAAGACAACCGGATTCAATCTATATGGAAACAGCCTATCCTGTACTTAGGCAAGTAGTGAGCTTCAACGTGTTTAAAGATATAGAATTCTCGGTGTTATCCCATCTGATCAATACTCTCTTTCTGCAGCATGTTCAGTCTATTGTTCCTGCACATCTTTTTGTACGGTTGCAACATTTTCATGTGGAGAAATGCTCGTATCAATTACAGCTTCATCTTTGAGTTATCTCCCATCAAGGAGCATAAGTACAGAGATGTGCTCTTAATCTGTACTACTTCAATGACTGCTGTTGTTGGAAACATGTTTGTTCAATTGTCACTGGTTACAAAAGGGTATTCATACGCCCAGGTTCGAGCAATTCCCTTTCTCCTGTTATCGGTAAATTCCCAACCGTTACACACTTTTTTGGATGCCAATGTGTGGGTTAGTCATGTTGTAGAAGTTTTAACTTTCTCCTCTGCGTGCAGGTATTCCTATTATTACTAGTCTTCCCTTCAATATCTTCTACTATTCGAGTCATTACCATTTCCTAATTAATTACAACTATTTTGTGCAGGTTGGCCAGGTTGGTTAGAGAATCATGATAACAAGCTCTTCAGATTCCTAAAACCTGACAGTACCATGTATTCTTGGACCGCAGGTGCCGATGCTTAGGAATTTCGAGTATGTGGCTTGTTATTACATAACTGGAAGCTACAAAAGTCAAGACTACGGATATTGAATGAGAGCCAAGCATTACAGATCTCTTGCTTATGCAGTGTCCTTCCTACCCTATTACTGGACAGCTATGCAGGTATATTTTGTTCCACAGAACTTGGACAGTTGAATTTATTTTGGTTGATATTAATTGATCTCATCAGACAGAAACTGTGTTTTGACTGGCTTGCAGTGTGCTCAACGGCGGTTCGATGAAAGACAGACAAATCACCTTGTCACTCAGTTGTCAGTCTAGGTAAATATGCATAAGCAATGTTCTTAAAATATGATGCCATTCCAAAAACAAAAGTAAGATTCTTCGTCTAACTGGGTAGAAAATTTGAAATAGAAGGAATTGACATTATGGTGTCATAAATTAAAATCTAAGAAACAAAAAATGAAAAAATGAAGCCTCTTTTGAACAGAACTTTGCATGACATAAAAGGATTGAACCTTATCCTCAGGCTGGCATGGCTGCAAACAGTTCTCATTTGAGTTCCCAATATGTTGACTGCAGGGTAACCGGGCTGTTTTTGGCTGCACTCGAGGTGATTAGAAGAGGACTGTGGAATTTCTACAGGTAAAAGAATGTGATTGTGGTTTAATATTTGCTGAATCTGTGCAAGCATAGCACAGGAGTAGGCATTTGTTCCCATCAACATGCAGACTTGTTTGCTTGATTGAGAAGTTGCAACGAACAAAATCTTCTAATGGTCCAGGTCGGAGAATGAGCATCTAAATAATGCTGGCAAGTTCAGGGCACTAAACATAGTGCCACTTCACGAAGTAGATGAGGAACAGAGATGGCCATTGGCAAAGGTTGGTCTCCGAATTCAATTCGGATCAACTCACATGATTCTTTTTATCAGCAGAATTCATTACCAAGGCATGAGCTTGCTCGTTATTGCTCCAAAGAAATTTGAGAATACAGTTATTGTACTTCCTTCGGACCTCTTCAAATAATATTTTCATTGTCATTCATTTTTTGTCTATTAAATTCTGAAACATATAGAGTTCTTCAAAGTTTATTAAGTTTTATATCCTTTAACTAGTTAAAGACCTTTCACATGATCATTATCTGACATTCGAAATTCTTATTAATCTACAGATAAGAAATAACCATCATCATCCTAAGTATAATATCAATATTAAGAACACATATAAATCATCATACAATATTAAAAAGTCTCTTTCAAACCATTATTCATCATCTTTTTCAATTTGTTTATTCTCATTATTAAACAATCGTATATCATTCTCTGTCAAAATCTTATTTCTCTTATCAACAAGTGTATACTTATATAGAAATCAATAGAAAATTGATACTAGTCACGTTTTACCTTCTGTCCATACAAATAATAATTGAAAACGAAAGATAATGAGTAACTCGCGACAACTTCAATTACACACAAGGTAACTATTACTACTAGACGCCTCTGTCGGCCAAAATATTCATCCTTGGTCACTGCAACTGCAGCAGCTACACAAATACAAAACAATGGCTTCAGCAACTAGCGGTATCTGCTTCTGCTCCACTCTTCCCTTCCCACAACTCACCTCTCACTCTTACAATAAAAAGCCCATCACTTCCCTTTCATTTTGCAACCCCTTCAAACCAATTCCCAGGTAATTCTTAATTTCTGTGTTTTTCTTTCTTTCTTTTCCCCTTGTCTCACTTTCAAATTCACCAACTTTTTCTTCTTCTTCTTTCAGCCTGAAACTTTCTTATCCCTCGCTGGTGCTACCCAAACGAGCAGTTCGGGTTTTGGCTTCTGATTCTACAACGGATCCAAATGAAAATACGGCTAATTCAAACTCTGTATGATATAATTCTTCATTTCTTCTATACTCCAATATTATCTGAGTTTCCTTATTCTTGCTACTCTTTTCTTTCCCTTTATATATGTTGGAAATATATTGCTATTGCTCTTGTTTATGCTAACCTTAATCGGTAGGGAAAAAAATATACATATGATATGTGATGGAAAATGAGTTTGAAGTGAGGAGACTTGCCCCAAAAATGATTCTTTTGGAAAAAAACGATTATTTTTTGCACTTGGTATGCTTCTAGTGACTACCTTCATTACAACCATCACAACTCTTCATCTATAAACATATAAATAATTCAATTCACCTTGCCACAATGTGATTTCCTTTTTTCAACAATAGTCTTCAGTATCTGGTTTGATTACAATTCGCAATTCAAGTTAACATAATACCAGATTGCTCATTTGGGAGGTTGGACATGTTTGGGGATTCCAAATATTCAGAGTTTTTGGAAGACAGCATCGTAAATTTTCTTTTTACAGTTCTTGGGATATTTTT